AATATAAGCTTAATTAAATACTCATCACCCCAACTCCCTAATTTCTAGGGTTCCCAGCCGGTTCCCTCTCCCGCACTTAACCGCGCATGTGTCAGTCTGATGAATCAAACGGAAAGGATTAATTGGGAACACATTAAAAGCCACATTCACTTACCCGCTCCCGATTCCTCCTTACCACAAGAAGCCACGATAGGGTTCTTGTAGTTGTGCGACTGGCGCGGCCTGCAGGGAGTTGAAGCTCGTTGTTATGGGCTTCAGTGAGAAATCAGGTGGTGGAAATCAAAATTTTGACGTTTGCTAAGAATCGGCACTCCTTTTCGTTTCCGATCAACGTAGCGAGAGGCGAGCTTGTGTTGGAGACTACAAACTTGATTTATGGGTTTCCATATGGATCTTTACTCGAAAATCAGTGAAATAAAAGGGATAGGAAGAAGGGGAAAGAAGAATAGGAAGTATCAGACAAGAGTTTGTTATGCCGAGAAGCCCATTTGAGGTAAGAAAATTATGTTTGGAGTTCAATCACGAAACAAGCCAAGATTTCATGAGATTATGAATTTCAAGTTGTTTACACTATGCGGCAAGTTTGAGGTAAGTTTGGGGAAACTCATCAAAAGATTGCTCCATCAATTTAGATAAAATAATCATGTGCTAACTTAAAAAGAATAACTCTATGCAGTTTTCCATGTTATTATATGTTTTACACCATTGCATTTAGAAGTTTCTGCATATTATGGATGGATACCTGCATAGATTGTATGAATACAAATTTGATTTGTCACTTACGATACCTTTCATAGTAATATCTTATAAATCTGATGAATATACATATGAAATTATTTATAGCAAATATTCATTTACTTTAATTCATGCAAATGATATATGAAATGTTTATGATGAATATTTGTTACAGAGATCATAATTTAAGAAATATCACAAGTGATGTTATAAGTATACTAATACATGAATACTAACAACTACAAATGATAAGGAACGATGGGATTCAAGACTTCTAGTATTCAAAATGAAGATGAAACTCTAGGAGCCGTTGAGATCAGACGACAAAGGAATTCAAGGAATTATTGGTATTAAAGAGCTATTGATAACTGTTATATTGGGACGACCCTAACCTTTATCAATTGTTAATATGGTCTTCGGGGTGTGTGACAACTTAATAACATGACATGACATGACAATAGTTGAGGCCTATACAATTATAAGTGACATTCTCATGATTAGATTAATGAAATTTATGAATATGCTTATAAATACATTTATGACGACACATGCATGATAATTACATATTCTATACAACAATTATGATTTCCTACATTACATGTCATTTTTTTATATGCTTTATACAATTATAACATATTGTGACACGCGTTGTGGACATGTGCGTGGGTTACATACCAGCATGCACGTTATTTTTTTCCATCTATTAAATCTAATGTTAGCCTTAATTATTTCATTGAGCTCGTTGTTGCTTACTCCACGCAGTTGACATTCGGGAAAAGATAAAAAGCTCTAGGGCGAGCAGTAAGATATGGATATTACAGCTTTTGCATTTCATAGTTTTGGGTGTTTGTACAGATTTTTAGGCACTTTTATTATGTTCAATTTAGCAGCTTCGTAAATAAAAAAATAAAAAAAATAAATAATTCACACTTTCAGACCGAAAGTCAGGATAGCCCCGCAGCTTTGATTCAAGAAGCATTAGGTGCAGAGGTGACAATTCATACTTCACATATACTGGAAACTATCGCTGTAGCAACGATTGCCTTTCCTTCTATTGCGATTCTAATATCTAATCAGACCGAGGATCACATGAGTCAGTCTTTTGATAAAGAATGACAGATTTACACTTCTCGATGGAACAAGAAGGTTGGGGGCACACTCCAACTTGGAAACTTAATGGACGATACTTTGGTTACTCCGGGCAATGACACGACACTTCAACTTGACACTTCAAAATTTGTTATCTGGCTCCACTCCTAAAACTAGAGGAAGAGGCAAGACTAAACTGGCTCATTGCTAGCTACTTGTTTTTTGCAAATTTAAATTTTTTGAGTTTATCTATATCTTTTAGTTAGAATATTACAGTACTTGGTATCGTATGGGTAGGGTGCATCTATTGGGCCCTCTCATACAACCTTCATGTATCTTCTCTATTTCAATAAAATCAACACTTGGGCTTTTTAAATATATAGCGAACTTTTTATCCCTGTCCCCTAAATATTGATCCCCATATGTGCTAATTCGACCTTGCTGGGATTCGAACCCGGGGCAGAGGGGACTTACGTCAATGCTGCCATCCAACAAATCACGATTGCGCACATATTATATATATATATATATATACGAGAATATACAAATAAATGAATTATGAAATAAAACACATCAAATATGTTTGTGGCGATTTAGTTAGATTAGTTTATCATCTAATGAGTCATCATTTTGGAATTCAGAATGAGTGTTGGTGAGAATTTAGTCTGACCCAATCATCCGCTTTTGTCACACATTGGTTGACCCTTAAGGTGGGCCAATTGGGCTGTAACAGATTCACACCTATTTGAACATCAGTCAAGCCCATTCAGACATGTGATTTTGCTTAAAATTTAAGAGTATGTTTACCTATCCAATTTGAACATCTTCTAGCATTAGTTTGATCAAACCAAGCCCAAATGAGATTTGGTTCCGCTTTTTGTGAGTGATTCAAGATATGTTCTGCAATTAAAAAAAATGTGCTCGCTCAGATAGGTTTGTTTATGAACCCAACAATCATTTTATTTTATAAACTTTTCCAAGATTTTAATTGTAGTAATATCCATCTAATATCATGTCATGCTTTGTGTATGGTAGCTGGGAGACATAGCATGCAGACGAGTTTCAAATTGATTCAAGTAATTGTTCAATCTTGGAGTTCCATTTACAGACAAAACAGGAATCACAACTCCTGGTCAGTATAATGCTGTTCTTTTGTAGCCGTCATCACAATTTAGCTGAATGAAATCACAGAGTATGTCTACCTATCTAATTTAAACATCTTCTAGCATTAGTTAGACCAAACCAAGCCCAAATGAGATTTGGTTCCAACTTTTTGTGAGTAATTGAAGATGTGTTTTGCAATTAAAAAAAAAGTGCTTGCTCAGGTAGGTTTGTTTATGCACCCAACAATAATTTTTATTTTATAAACATTTCCAAGATATTAATTTAAGTAATATCCATCTAATTTCATGTCATGCTTTATGTAAGGTAGCTGGGAGTCATAGCATGCAGACGAGTTTTAAATTGATTCAAGTAATTGTTAAATCTTGGAGTTCAATTAATAAACAAGAGAAATCACAACGCCTGGTCAGTATCATGCTGCTATTCCGTAGTCATCATCACAATTTACCTGAATGAAATCAACAATGGCCAAAGTCATTATTACCCTCAATAAAAATGTCAAAATAGACCAGACTCTTGATTGGAGTCTATTTTGGTCACCGAGTTTATAAAAATGTCAAATTAGGCCCAAAACTCCTTTAACATGGACGGAATTAATTATCCTTTGGGACTATTTACTCATATTAAAAGAGTCTGCGAGTTAAATTAACACTTTTATAGACTTGGACAAAAATGACCCATGTAAATAGTTAGGGGACTATTTTGACACTTGTGCTTGTCAAATAGAACTCTAATGGGATGCCTTGGAACGGATTTAGAGCAGGATTTAACTTGGATTTAACCTAAATCATGCAAGACGGTTAATTTGGACAATATAGCTGTGGATTTTATAAATCCGAATATCACAGATTCTAGACAAAAATCTCGGATTTACAAAATCCTGTGAATCGATGAAAATAGTAAATCAAGGACAAGAGCTTCACACAAAAAGTAAGGTAAAGTTACCTTCCTCCAATATTTCAGATAAGAATGGAAGGGAAGGATTAGAAAGATGGGAGTTTCGGGTTTTTATACGCCGAGATCCCATCGTTGCCTTACTAGTTAACTCTAATTGTGACAGCATCGCGAGTGTTCGATCAAGAAAGCAATGATTTTGGGCAAAACCGGGTGGGAGAGGGACAATTGAGGGCTGGGTAAAGATGCGAAGTTGAGGCGAAATTGGGAGGGGGAGGATGTAGGCGAGGGTTTGGGGGAGAGAGGGGAAAGAGAGATAGGTTTGTGCAGATAATTTATTTTTATTTAAGTTAATTTTATTAATTTAATAGATTAATAATTAATTACTAAATTACCTATTATCAATTTAATTACAATTATAAAAATTGGATGTAATTATTTAATAGTTAATTAATGAATAAAAATATATTTTAAAATTTAAATTATCTAATAAAATTCTAAAAAATTCTTAATTAATATAATAAATATTTAATTAATTAATAATTAATTAATGTGAAATTATTACTTAACTCATTTAATAATTTTTTTATTAATAATCAATTTTTTTAGTTAAAAATTAATCATTAATTAGCACAAAAATAAATGAAATTTAAATTGAATTTGATTAAATTTAATAATTAATTTTTATCATTGCAATAAAATATTCAAAGTTTCATTTTGAATTTTTTCTAATAAATGTAATAATCTTTTAAATCATTGTGGAAGTTGTCAAACAATTTGATAGGATTTAACTAGATTTATTAAATCCGTTACCAAATATATTTTGAGATTTAACCTTTTCAAACTTTACAAAATCCGAATTTACAAGATTTACTACATCCTACTAACTTAAATCTAATCCATCGCCATACAGACCCTTAAAGGCTACCAACATGATACATGCAGAACAAGATAAAAGAGAATCAGAAATAAGAACCAACGGCACAAATGGAGCTTTCCGCACTATAATGGGCATGAACAACATTGTAAGGTTTGCATCATACTTCTTAAACAATAGATGATTTAAACCTATAACTATGATGGTTAAAGCATCCATCAATTTTATCCAAGCAATTAATGTTCCAATATCTATTTTATTTATGAAGCAACTCATTTCTTACCAGGATCATCATCACCATCATTTTGGCTGGTAAAAAATGGAGTAAGATACTTCTTGTCCAAGGTAGAAAATGAAGCAGCACTGCAACACAAATAAGAACAAAACCAATTAACAGAACAGAAAGCATAACAAACAGGAGCAATTAAAATGCAATTGAAACCTAGTAACCGTACCTTCTATGCAGTTCTTGAAGTCTCGACTTCAGCCTACTTGCGGATGATGCTCCCTCCTCATAAGAGTGGGTAGTGTGGCCATTGTTTGTCTGAAAGCCCTGCGGGACAATAACAGAGACAATTTTAGCAAAGGCAAAATGCAGTGCACAAGTTCAACCGTTCTAGAATCTGTAGTTCGGTTGAAAAAAAAAATAACAACAGGCATTGAAGAAGTCTACGAGCCAGAAAAATCAAAGGATGGACAATTTCTCCTGCCAACTGCGGGAACTAAGCAAGAGTACCAAGGAGAGTTAAATCATGCTCAAAACTTTTATGATAAGAAAATACAAACGCATGAGCACTCATGCAACAAGTGCTAAAAAAATTAGAATCAGTCATACGTGCTCAAATGAAGTACTTAATGTACCCCCGGCAATAATTTTTTTAGATGATTTGCCAAGAAAGTCAACAACAATCAGCCAATTCATCACCCAAATAAAAAAAAAATATATTATAAAATTATTTTCGCATCCAATGAACACCTTTTACCTGCATTTGGCAACCCGTTCAGCTGACTTTTGCAAGTTGCTTTAGAAATACTCTTTTTTAAAATTTTAAAGAAATGTCCCATTCTTAAAAGGAAAAAGCATGTATACATAAATGAATGCAGAAATAGAAAGTTCAAAAGAGTAATGAAAATTTCGTTTTAGAAGAATTTACCTCTCCAAGTGAGGCATCGTGCACGTCACCTACAACTTCCAGTTTTTCTAGCAGAGTACCAGTCGAACCTCCAATTAATAGCACCTGGACAATCATAGAAGTGAATTAAGAAGTATTTGAAGTAGTAATTTCGCCAGTTACAATATATCCGTCGTGAAATCAATAAGTTGATGACCAGTGCAAGTGAATGTATTACTTCGAAAACAGAGTCCCAGGAAAAGAGCTTGAAAAAAAATTTGTTGCACGTGATGTGCACTGTACACGCTGAAAAAAAATCTAAAACACATCTTGATTCACAAGTTATAAATGAAGGATCGTGATATTCCCTTGTGTACACAGTCATATTAAATATGCATTTTATTGAACAAAGTTGACATAAACAATAACGGATAGGTGCTGAAAGATAGCACTATAATAACATAGATTTTTTGGATAGCAAAGTTACTTAGGGCCCTACATCATACAGTTGGGCTTAATAAAAGTTTCGTTTTGATTTTTTTTTTCTAATAAACGTACCCTGTATGTATTAAATTTAGAACCCGTTTGGGGCAACTTATTTGGGTGCGGCGGCTTTTTGAAAACTCCGCCGCGCTGTTTGGAAACTGCGTTCAACGAGCATTTTCAAAATGAATCGAAGCTCGGTATTCTATTTGTCCTACGGAATCGCACGCGGGGATCTAGATGCGTTCGGAGTTCACGACTGACGTTTAGGGCTCGAATTCCTCCCGTGCCCTTGATGATCTCCATCGCCCTCTCCCTCCCCGATCTTCTCCCTCGCGAACATCGATTCGATCATTCCTCTGGTGAGATCTATGTGTTGTTGTGCTTGGTTTTATGGCTCGATCTTCTCCTCGCGAACATCGATTCGATTGTCTTTCTCATTTTTTTGTAAGTTTCGGTTGATGGTTTAGGGTTTTCTTGAGGATGCCCTTGCTAGATTTATTTGGAATGCATTGAATGCTTATGTACTACCAATAAACTATTGTGAATAATCTGCCCCAAACAATAAGCCAACTTATTCTGATAATCTGCAGATTATCAGAATAAGTTGGCTTATCAGAAGATTATAAATAATCAACAGCTGCCCTAAAGTGAACCTGAGGCTTTACTAAATAAATTATCCTTTCATAACGAAGACAATCAACTGCCCCCAGATCATAGGGGGGTTGACAGATCCTACAGCAGCGGGAATCAGGCCCAATATCCTGACTGGCGGTCGGCTCGGTATAATGAGCGTTTGTTGCCCCATCTGAGATGCCCCAAATAACCCTATTGAAGGTATCAATGATCGAGATAATAAAAGTCATTTAGAATAAAAAGTACATCAAGAGAGCTCCCTCGATGAAGACAGGGCTTAGCTCCGAAATCACAAGAAGTATTGTGCGTACCGCCAGGATCACAATCATGATATGGAGGATTGTCGATATCTTTGGAGCCTGGTTGAGGAGTTGATAAAGGCTAGCAAACTAAAGGAGTAAGTGGCTCTAAAAGCAAAAACCTAACAACAAGAAAAGCCTAATGGAAGAGATTTCAGACGAGGCAATCTGAGCGCACACTATTCACATTGTGGGCGTAGTCTCAGCCATCTTTGGAGGAGGCGGGCAATCAGCCTGCCAAGCCAGCCTGAAAAGGTTCCGACCAGAAGAATTGTGTGCAGTCGCATTTGCTCTGAAACACATCTCACATTCCCCCATCACTTTCACTAACACACATTCACCCCCCACGACGAATTTGTATGGTAAAACTATCGTCGTTACTGCTCTGATAAGCAACTACCATATTGGTAGTATTCTTGTCAAAATTGAAAGCTTTGTGAACAGGTTGTTCAAATCAGTGTTCAACAATATGGGTTTAGGAAGAGAAAGACTGACTACGGCTGTCGGTCCGCTCTATGGCTTCTATGGCGGAGGAAAGAAGCCCTGGGAATCATTGCCCTGTCGATTACTTAGGAGAGAACCACAAATAGTTCTGAAACATGAAGGATTTCTTGGCGGTCAATTCGCTGCCAACAAACTTACAGTGCCATCTTGGGTCGACCCCGTCTCAACAACTTCAAGGGCATTACTTCAACATGACGATAAAGTTTCCAAGCCTCGGGAAAATTATCACCGTCTGAGACAACCTTGAGCAGTCCCAGACCTACTACCTTCGAGATGAACACTTGATGTTCAAAAACTGTGTAAAGAGGGTCTTAAGACCAGCAAGACCATATTGGAGATCTCGATGCCCGAAGGCGAGCCAGATAAATTTTTCCTAATAAGTGAAATTTTTTATGCATTGTTGAACGATATGCCGATTAAGATCCTCTGAAACCATCGAGATGTTTTTGCCTGGTCTGCCACTGAGAAGCCAGGAATACCAGTCGATATAACGTGGCACCATAACGTGGCACCTCCTGAATGACAATCAAGTGGCCCGACCCATGAAGCAAAAGATGAGGACCTCGGCTGTCACCCTAGTCGAACCAATTTAGGAGAAGGTGCAGAAATTGTAGGTCGGATATGTTTGAGAAGTCCAATACCTAGCCCGGGTATCTAATGTGATCATAGTTCAAAAGGGAAAAGACAAGTGAAAGATGTGTGCAAAAAAATTATTTGCTGCTTGATATAAAAATATAGTTACCCTCTATCAAGGATCGACACATTTGTGGATTCAACAGTCGGACACTTGATGATGAGTTTCCTGGATGTTTTCTCCGGTTACCACCAAATAAAGATGCACTCAACAAACGAGGAGAAGACAACCATTATAACATGTGAGGGTGTATTTTGTTATAATGTAATGTCTTTTGAGCTCAAAACATTGGGGCTGCTTACCAGTTGTTGATGATTATAATTTTGTCCGAGCAAAAGAAAAAATATTAAAGTGCATGTCGAGAAGTTGATTAAAACTAAAATGATCGTACAACATATAAAGATTTAAATGAACCTTTTGAAACTTTTAGAA